AAGTGCAGAATGATAAGAATATCAGCTTGGAGGGTTCAAGGTATCTCCTAGTCGAGCAGTCTCGACTAGAGTCTTCTTACTTGTTTATTTTGCACCCTTATAGCAAAATTAAGAGATCTGTTCATCAGTTTTATAATTTCCCGAAAATATTTGCCACTCCTTATAAGGCTTTTAGCAATTCTGCGTTCCTCACTAGAACAATGAATATTCCGAACCATCTACATATGAAATTGATTTTTTTTTTTACTTATAACATCTCTGTAAAGACTACTTAATATTTTATAACAATAAAAGACGTTTTTCTTTGATTAAAATTTTTTTCCAGACTGAAGAAATCGAGTGTACCTATTATTTTCAGCAAGCTCTTTTCAATGAATCGTGACTACAATAAATTTACGGGAAAATACAATAATTTTTTTGGGATGAATCATATTGCCAGATGATTTCCTTAAAGTTACCATCAATTTTTTTTTTTTTTAAATATTAAAAATGAATTAGTTATGACAGAATCTCTAAAAAAATGTGTACCTATTATTTTCATGAGTGTATATATATATAACTATATATACTTTTAGCGAAATGACTCTGGACTATTAGTATGTTAACCACGTGTTACTCGCACAATATTCGAATGTGGCCGACGTATTCATCGATTGTAAAGGCTCTAAAATGATATCTTGTCCATACACACTTTACACGTAAGTAAATATAGTTTCATCCTACGAAATATCATTTCAGAAATTCGAGTTTTACAGCTATAGATAACTATGGATAACTATGGAAACTTACTGGCTAACTATAGGGTATTTTCGGGGCGCAAAAACAATCTATTTTTGCACGGGAGCTGTCTAGCTGACCAAAATTGGATCAAAATATTGCTGAATTTATAGAAACATTAAGTGTAATTTCCCAGTTCCCTAGTGGATGTAGAAGTATTTCATGTTTTCCCCTTGGAAATCGTGTTGAGTCTGTAAGGCTACCGGGTTAAGTCAATGCAAATGGAACAAATGTAACACATCTATTGTTTTGGTCATTTTTTATAAATTTTATTATTTTTTTATTATTATTATATATAAGCATAAGGTTATACAAATATAAATATCTTTTATCATACTCCGGCGTCTATCCAAGGCCTGCTTTTTTTCCACTTTCTCTCTCACTCTCTCCAACTGTCTTGTCTCTTTTATTACATTAGTTCTTTCTTTCTCTTTTGCTTTACTAATTTTGTAGCTTATGTCAGCGCGCTTCGTGAAACGAGTCTGTGTAATAGATATCTCGCTTTTTGGTGAAATTATGAAATTCTCCAATTATGCCCCATTACAAATTTTTGGGTCCTAAAACAATTTCGTTTACAATTGAGAGTGAGAGTCAGAAGGTCATCCGGCGCTCGAGTGCTCTGTCTCAATTCTCAATCATTTCTCAGCTCTACCACCCTTCGTGGGTATGAAGAAGCTCGTACAATATGTGTTTAGATGTTTCTTAATACATTTTGATCTCATTTGCCATATGATATGTGATATGTGTCTGTATATGGATTTAAGCATATATGGTCTACTCATCCGGTGTGCATAATATAAAAGTAAGTAAATATATTTACAAGAGTAAAAGGATCAATCAAAAGATGTGTGTGTGTGCTTTTGTTATTTCGTGTTTTTCTGTTAACTATGCTATTGTTTTGATAGCAGATTATATATAATTATATATATTATATATATTTATATATAATTATATATATATATATATATATATTTTATATATATTTATGTACTATATTTATATAGTAAGAGTAATTGATTAAGTAGGCTAAAATACAATGCAAAAAAAGTTAAATTACGTCTTATGCTTAAATTTAACGACACATATTTTTGCTTGACCCGAACGATGCGCTGCTTGGCATTATATATATATATAAGTAGATATGGTTGGGACTGAGCCCATTAGCCTTTGGGGATGGCTGACAAATGTTGTATAGTTGCTGCTGCTTCTCCTACTCCTGATGGAATTCATCCCTCGGAATAAGAGCTTAGGCTGCTTCGCGTGGAGCCCGTGAAGTGATCGCGCTGCAGGGCATCCGAAGGTACAGAAACGATCAAGGCGCCGCCGTACAAGGTTTCCATCTCATCCAGCTGCTGTGCGAATGTCTCCTCCAAACGCTGACCACCGTAAGAAATACAAGAATATATGATCATTCGTTAATTTGTAAAATGTTTCTAATGTTGGATCATACGCAACAAAGATTTTGAAACAAACAACATCCAACTCAATACTTTTTAGATTCTGTATTCAAAAGTTTAATTTGAATTTGATATTTGGCATGCATGTTAGTTGCTAATTAAGTTCAGTCAATACATTGTAAGTAAGTAAGGGTAGCTAAAGTTAGATAGTATAGAGTTAAGAGCTCGCTGGCCCGTAGACTAACCTCTTGTTGCAGCCTCTGTTGTAGTTGCTTTACGAATAGAAGAAGAGCCGGCAAGAAATTGTTTTGGTTTTAACATAATTTTGACATTTTTGATTGGTGATTTTAATATTATTTCTGTTTTATATGTTTGTATATATGAAAAGCAGCGCGTTGTTGTAATTTTGTGGTAATGTAAAATAGTGAATATCGAGGCTTACATAAACATATGGCAGGTATGTATATAATGTATAGAGTGCATGTAATATGTGTGTTTTATAAGTATTATCTTACAGCTTTCTAATTACATTTCATGCCTTTCTTTCTTTCTGTTTCTGGTCTAAGTACTCTCTGCATTATAATACTGCTAAGGGGAATGCAACGGTTGCAGGCGAAGCCCGCATACAAAACAATATTTCATTTTTGGCATCATAAGCAAAACTATTATTTAATTAACAAAATACAAAATATATTCATATATATATATATATATATATATATATATATATATAACTTTGGCAATTTGTAATGGCAATTGGCAAAAAATAGATTTCCAAAATCTGGATAGTTCGATAAGTTGTGTATGTTTAGTTATGAGTGTGTGTTATGTCTCTCTGCGTCTGTGTGTATGTGTGTGTATTAACCACCAAAAGCAAACAATGTTAATGGAAAGGAAAATATAGCGCATTTAGGAATTAGTACGGTGGATTAGGAGATGCTGCTTAGATGAGACGAGTTCATTGATATTGATATTGTAGACATGGTTGTTATATATCAATATATAGCCTGCAGTGCGATCGTTAAGCGGCCGATGTGTCGTCGTCCAAGCTGAGCTGGCGCTGAGCTATGCGAGGCAGCCTGTACTTGGTCGCATACAAATCGTGGTAGAAGTCATCTGTGACGCTGCCGTTGTGGATGGGCTTCAGCGTAGAGCGCAGCTGTGGCTGCACCTCATCCAGTAGGGCGGCTGCCTTCAGTCCTGCATCGAAGATCAGCTCGGCGTCGCTGCAGTAGCGAGTCGAGGTGCTCAACTCGTGCATATTGTACATGGACTGGGCGCTGCCCAACGAGGACCGCCCGCTGCTGCGGCTGGCCAGTGAGGGACGCTTGATCGCAAATGAAGTGGAGTGCAGCAGGTGCTGTGTGCGGGCCGTCAGCTTGGGCCCCTCATTTATGCGCAGTGTGACGGCCGGCTCTGGCACTTCGGGTCTTCCAAATCGATGCGCTACCAGACCTAGCTCCTCTGGCGTCTTTGGTAGCGGCGGGGCCTCTGTCTGCTTGAACGTGCTCATCGCTGGCTTCACACTCGCCTCGTCTGCGCTGTTCAGCTGCGGCGTAGGGGTCACCACCTTGACCAGCTCATTCGGCGTCGCACTTGGCGGCACCTTGGTAATCAAACGCAGCGGCTGTGCTCCCGGCAAGGTGACCACGCTAGCGCGCTTCATTTGTTCCTCGTCCCCGTCCTCCTCCTCGGGAAGCATCATGCCGCTGCACATTTGGGCCCGTTGATATTTGTGCATGATCGGCGTGCTCGGCACGCTGCGGCTCAAATCGGGCGCCGAGCCCCGGAAGTTACCCCGGCCACCGCCCGACCCAAGCATCAAGAGCGAAGAGCGCGCCCGGGGCAGCTGCTGCGGATCGATGAAGGTGTTGCGCGGCAACAGTCGCGCCGATCGATCATTGAATATGCCGCGCAGCCTCAAGGGCAGCTCCACCTCGAGGTTCTCAAACTCGCTTCGGTTGGCTACGAGGCCGTAGCGCTTCTCATGCTCATCGATGGCGGCGCTTATCAGGACATTGAGTCGCTGATCATTGCCGCCGTCGAGATAAAAGTTGAAGTTGGTTGGTTTGGTTAGCACATGCAAGGCCCGAGACCAGCCAATCGGTCGATTGGCAGTTTGGCATTGGTTAGTAGTTGAAAAGCACAGCGGTAAGCATTGAGTTTGACAGTATTGAAAGTATATCATTATTATATATTTATATATATATAGTTTTGTAGGTGGTATTGAGTAGGTAGAGTAGTTGGCCACCAAAGTGTATGCATATTCGTAGAGGTGTAAAGAGAGAGAAAAAGTTGTTCAAGATATATATCATTTGAATTATCGGATCGCAGCATTGCTCGTGCTGCTGTTGTTGTTGTTATTGTTGTAGATAATGGTGCTAGGTTCACCAAACACAAAACGTTTTTCAGTTGAGCAATATTTGACTTGCTTCCGTATATAATAATATATTTATATTCGTTATGCTATGACCTCAGATAATTTAAAAATAGCCGACAGAGCGCGAGCTGCGCATTTTCTTTATAAGGAAAGGAGTTATCAAAAGTATAAGTCTAATTATCTCATCGAAATTGCAATTTAATTGAATACAATTTAATTTTTCAAGAACAAATGCAATACTCATAGTTAGCTTATCAAATTTAAAGGCTATGACAATCTGTTTATGAGTCACAATGTTTTGTTTCGCATTAGAATGCTTTTCAGATAGATAATATGAAATGAGTCATAGCAGAGACATCAGCAAATAAGTTGTAAGCCGTGATACAATCAATTATTGCTCAACTGACAAGCGTAATGACGTTGTGACGGTTGGAAGAACGGGCAGGCGAGAGACTAGGGACAGGTCAGAGGGCATGGGGCAAAGGGTAACACACGAAAGGGACACCACGAAACACCACCGTTAACCAATAAATAATAATATTTACAACAGTTTTTAGAAATAACTTATGATCAATCCCAGTCGAAAAACTACACACAACTGTACATAACACAAAACACCAACAAAATGAGGCGGATAGTAGCCTGTCTTGCTGGGGGTGTGCGGAAGGGGCGTACCAGATAGAGACAGGCGGCGGAGTGAAAGTTGAAAGTAAATGCGGAAACTGCGCATACACACCTGTTTGCGGGGCACTAGCTGTTCACGCCAATCTCGCAGCTCGGCTTTAAGCCGCTCATCGATCTCCGAGAGCTTTGCATGCTCGTGTTCAACAAGGGCCTTGCGCTTCTCGTTCTGCAGCTGTTCCAGCTCTCTGCAATGTAAGTAAGTATTCTCAAACGGTCCTTTCGTTTTCTTCGCTTTCGCTCACCTAATGGCGCTTTCACGCGTGGCACGCAGCTCTTCCAACTGCTTTTGATGTTTGACCTCAAAGCGACGCTCCTCCTGCATGTAGCGTTTCTTCTCCTGCTCCTGGAACTGTTGTAAGAAAATGATCCAGTCAGTAGTTGTTTTCAACCCTGATCGGTTGTTAACCCACCTTCTTTAAGCGATCACGCTCAATATCAGGATCGAGATTAGTGGAGATGCGCAAGGATTCGCGGAACATGAGATCACGTGCCTTCCGCTCAGCCCGTATGCGCTTGGGCAGAGCGCGCTTCTCGAGTGTTTGCTTCTTAAGTAAGTCCTCCTCTTTGCGCTGCAGCATACGTTTTACTTGATCTAGTTCCTTCTCGTGACGTACGATCATTTGATGGCGCTGCATGAAGCATAGCTCTTTGACATGCCGCTTGGACAGCTGATGGCGTTCATGCAACTGCTTTTCCTCTAGTTCCCAAAGCAGAGCCTCGCGCGTACGCATGGCATTCTGTTTCTGTTGCAGGAAATTGCGATTGATAGTTGCCAAGTGATCTCGATGCTTCTCGCTGAGACGGCGCAGCAGCAGCTCGTGCCGCTCCTTGAGTGAGTCAAGGAACGCGCGCTCCTTCTCCTCGTGATCCAGCTCCATGGCTGTGCGGCGCTGCTTGAACTCGTCCTTCCGTTTGTCTTTGGGAAACAGATCAACCTCCTGCTTGAGCAGCCGGATCTCCTGCTTAAGATTCTCGCGGAATATCTTAAGCTCTTGCTCCTGCTCAGAGCGTATACGCTTCGAGGAGCTGCGCAATTCGTTCTCTTGCGTCTGTTCGGTCTTCTCGATTAGCTGCTTGTGTTGACGCGCGAGAGTTTCCATGTCCGTCTCGTAGGTCTTCTCAAGTGACATACGCTCCTGTTCGAAGCGACGATCCTGTTGCTCCTTGGCCAACTGCTCCTTGACATGCAACTCGGTTTGCTGCTTCTTTTCCTGCTTCTGAAGCATTTTCAGTTCGCGCAGCTCCTGTTTGCGGAAGTCGTGATCATCGTAGATGCGTCCGTTATCCTCATCGCCATAGATGACGCGACTAGTTGTTGTGGTCATTTGCACGCCATCAATTTCAAATTTGCGCGTGCGCTTGCGTGTCTTCTTTCGCAAATTGCGCAGCTCGATCTCCTCCTTGGTGAGTCCACTAGCGCCTGCGGATTTAGCAGCTGGCACGCGCGGCTTTTGACGAATAACCACAACGTCCGCCTCCTCCTCCTCCTCATCAATCGACAGCGCCAACCGCTGCTGATGTAGGTTGTTGCGATTGTTGTTGCTCAACGGAGGCGGCGGGGGCATCATAGTGTGCAGCTGCTTGTTATCCACCTCGTTGCGACTGTCCTGACTAGTGTTGGTGCCAATGCTGTCCGCATCGCCGCCTCCGCTGGTTATCAGCACTTCAACGCCGCGTTTTTCACGAACGGAACCATTCTCGCTAGAACCGGAGCCGAGGCTGCTGTCAGGCGACAGCCGTTTTTCTTGCTCTTGGCCAGGCTTAAAACGGTTCACAATGATGCTCACATCCTCGGGCACAACGCCATTGGCCTGCTGGCGCTTGCCGATATCACCGCCATCATTAAGCTCCTGATGGCTGCTATCCTTGACCTTGATGACCTCATCGCCCACGGTGACGACGGACACGTGACTGGTGTCCATGAGGTGATCGCTATGGTCATGACTGCCTGAAGCGGTGTTATACGCCGAATCGTCGTCCGCGTACGAGGGACTCACAATCAATACTTCACTCTCGTCCAGCTTACGTGCGCGTACAGCACCTGCCGCTGCTGTTGCTATGCCGCTGTCTGGACGCTCATTTACAGAGAGTATCATGGATGACTGTTTCACCTGATCTCCAAGACTATCGTCCAGAGAAGGGAAGTCTTCATCAGTAGACGATTCATGCATGTGCCTGCTCTTATTCAAATCATTCGACACGATAATCACCTCATTTTGCGCCATTAACGGTGACGCCTGTGAATTGTCAATGATTACTGGCGGATGGGTGCTCGTCACTACCGTGATTTGACTAACCGACTCAAGACTGTTGGGCAGCACCAAGTGCTGCTGCTGCTGCGTTTGTGTCTGTGTCGGCGGCAGTGATGGCGGCGGCACCGATTGCTGTTGACGCAGAGCAGACGATGCATCGCTGCTGTTGATGGTTATCAACGAGGTACTGGAGCTGAGCACAGCGCCCGTTGCGCTACCCGAGGTGCTGCTCGTAGAGGCTACGGACTGCACGGATATGATGGAAGAGGCGGTCGGCGAAGGTGGCTGTGACTTGGGCGCCCCGCCATCCTGCCCAATGGTCACTTCAATGCCACCTATGGCCTCTGGCAATTGTTTAGGCGGCGCTGTCGTCTCCACTTCCGATGTGAGCGTGCTTTGTGGTTTGGAAATTGTAGCAGCTACGCCGGGTGCTGATGGCGGCGGAGGTGCTTTGCCCTTTTCCTTTTTGATAAAGTGCTTTTGCAACGGGTTACAGACAATTAAATTAGGCCATTGTCAAATGACTACTACATCTTCAATTGACTACTCACCTTTTTCTCAGCATCCGATTTTTCATTTGTTTCTGCAACGTCCTCGCTCGATTTCTTTTGCACGGCAGCAGCTGGAGGCTGGGGCTGTAATTGAGGTTGTGGTTCTTGCTGCTGCTGTTTATCCGAAGCTGGTGGTGTTGGCGGCACTGGTGCGGGCACTTTGGTATGCGGAGCGGCTGTATCGGATACTGCTGGCACATACTCCGCTCTGATCTGGTGTGGGTTGTCTGGTGTTGTTGCTTTAGTTTTTGTTGTTGTAGGTATTGCTGTTGCTGCTGCTGCGACTGCTGCAGCTGCTGGTAGACTGCTACTTGGTTGGGATTGCTCTTTGGAATCCCGCGACATGGATGTAGGTGTACCTGGAACTGCGTATGAAAATAAAAGCTCAATGAGCGTAATACGAAAAGGCTGACGGACACTTACGTTTTTCAATGTCTTGGCTCTGCAGCGAAACAGAGTCATCGTCCAGGTCGAGCTGGAGCGCCGAGTTGCGGGGTTCCTAAGCAGAAAACAGACAACATAGCGTCAGTAAAATACAGTAAAATGTTTTATAAAAATGGCTCGTTGAAGAGTATGAAAGCCCAATTATCTATTACATTATAACAGATTTAAATCATATCAAACTAAAATATTTTTTGTTGTCAATGAGTCGTTGGATAACATAAAAATATAAGAAGCAACAAAAGTGCTCTAGTCGAGACTGCTCAACTAGGAGATACCTTTAACCCTGCCAGTTGATATTCTAATCATTCTGCACATACAAAAACACATGCACACATACATACATATGCATCCACACGCACGCATAACCACGAGCGCCGCTAACTGCGCAGTGTGAGCAATATAATGAGAATTTATTTGTTGAATAATTTCTTTTGTAGACGGACAATCTTAATAAAAATTTCAGAACTTGATCATAATGTTTGAATGTTTGTCTATTCCAAAATCTCTAGTACTTAAAATAAAATTTATTTCGAATTGGTGGCGCAGGGGGCGTGGTATCCAAGATCTGTATATTACAAAACCTTAGCATCCAAAATATATATACACAATGAATCTAAATTCAAATGTGGCTGAAATAATGAAATCAATTTATCGATTATTCTCGATAAAAAAGATATGGATAAGTTATTGAAAAATATAATATGTATATAACATACGGACAGACCGACATAGCTATATGGACTCAGCTCGTCGTTCTGATCAAGAATACTTTCTCAAAACCATTCTTCCCTGATTTCACATTTTCAATGGGTTCAGGGTATAAATATGCGATATATAAATAAATACGTATATCTATATGTGTGTTCGTGACTTCCGAAAAGCAACAACTAAAATACTGTTACTTGAAGGCAAGTATAAAAAGCAAGATAAACATTTGGTAATGCTGATAAAACAAAATAACTTTAATATAAATAGAGCGTGTGCTGGAGGACGGACGGGCGGCTGTCGGGGTGTTGCTGTAGAACGACTTACCAACCCTCTGATAGAGCGAACGTCGCTTCTCTTGGCGTTTGAGCTTCTAAATCAATTTTATAAACACACACACACACACATAAATAATGCAGAAAACGATAACAAAATATGGCCGAAAAATTGACGGAGTCAAATAAATTAGGAGATTTATCGTAAAGTTAGTTATTCAGTTTTTTTTTTTTTTTTTTTTTTTTTTTTGATTGGGCATAGTAGACGGGACAAGGACGCAGCGTGTAAGAAAGAGATATACAAAATATAGAGAGTTAGTGTCCTTTCTAGCTCTGGATGTAATACAGGTGCAATTGTGCTGGCAACAACAAAAACACAGCGAGTAGGTGAATGTATAACTAACCTCAGCCTCATCATCGACGACCTCCTCGACAACTTCGGCCTTGTACTCGAGCAACAGATCTTTGATCGGTTTCGCATCCAGATTACAGTTGATGAACCCATGCTGTAGCAGCATTTCTGTTGAGGGCCGCTGCTGGGGATCCTGGGAGTGAAATATACGCAAGCAGATCAGTTTTACTGTTTCGCATTGGTCGCAATATCCTTACACACCTTGACTAAAGCATTTTTTAGAAAATCATTGAATTCCTTACTCCATCTGCTCGGGTGATCCAGTTTAGGCGGCTCACTCTTCTGAATCTTGAGCAAGACACGCATTGGCGACATTTCGCTATTGGGCGGCTCCATTTGCGCCAGCTCAATTAGTGTGATTCCCAGCGACCAAATGTCCACCTTGTGATCGTATGGATTATCTCGAAACGTTTCGCACAGTACGAGTTCTGGGGCCATCCAGTAGGGCGTACCAATAAACGTGTCATGCTTTTGCATTGTGTGTTTATTCTTGGCCGACACTCCAAAGTCAGCTGCATGTGAGGAGTACAGGACAATTAATTCAGGGCACGCCTAACTAAAAACTACCAGCATACCCAGCTTGACGCCACCCTCCATGGTGAGCAGTACGTTGCCCGCCTTCAAATCTCGGTGTATGACTTTGTTCTTGTGTAGAAATGAAAGGCCCTCGGTCATATGCTTGCACACATAGGCGATTTGTGGCTCGGTGAGTGCCTTATCCAGTTCAACCATAATGCTGTCCAAGGCCCCGCCGTCACAGTATTCAATTAGCATCTATAAATAAAAGGAGCTTCAATCTTATATGCGAAAATTACTTTTAAGCTAAGACTTCAGTATTATTAGGGAACGCATATAGCCAGTCAAAAAGTATTTTATGCGTTCAGTATTTCCAGTCAACTAAACTTTTTTCATTTCATATCATCCTTTAATCAGCCGTTTTTAGACCATAAATCCCTTGTAAAAGGCAAATCAGGGTATAATTATGTTGTAAAAATTATTGTAATAGGCCGAATGAGACGCGGCAGAGCCCATAGTGTATGACAACCATCTGTCTGTCCGTTTATTCATCTAGCAATATTAATGAATGCATCGATATCCGTTAGGCAGCTCTATAGAGCTTGCTTCCCAAGACCGATCATATTAACTTTGAATTTGCTACCTAGAGTGCAGGCAGTGGTTCCGGCTGAGGGTATCTTCAAATCGGAGCTGTCCGAATTGGAATTATTGTACTTGTTTTCATTACTCATTAATGTGTTACAGTCAAGTCCCTAACTAACCTCTTACAAATGCCAGCACATTAGCATGAGCATTGTCATGACTCACCCAGAGTTTGTCATCGATGGAGAATGCTTCGTAGAGCTCGACAATATTTGGATGTTTGATCTCCGAGAGTATATCGATTTCGACCATGTGGTCACTTAGATTTTCCTCATCCTCTAGGGTGCACATTTTGGCGGCAGCGAACCGCCTGTGCTCCTTGTGCTGGGCCTTGTAGACTTTGCCGAAGGCGCCATCGCCCAATTCTCCAACCATTTCCCAAAATTCCTTTGGGTCGGTGTCCATTTTTATATTGTTGTAGAGGCGTTTCTTTTTCGCCTCGCCACCGCCACCGAGGTGGAAGACCTTCTTCAAATTCGTTATGAAAGACATTTCGAGGAGCTTCTTAGCTTTCTTCTTGTTCGTCTACGACTTGCAGAAATGCGTATGTAAATATTGTTTCTTTTCTTTTTTGCCTCTTTGTTCTACATTCTGCAAGGTGCAGTGGCCACCGCCAAATTAAACTAGATTTCAATTTGGTGAAAGCTGGGTAACAACAAAAACAAACATATGCATCATTCATTGAGCTTGAGCTTCATTGATTGATTGAGCTCTGCTAGCTGTAGTTTTTTCTTTACTTTTTTTTCATTTAAACTCTTTCGTCGCTCACCTGTTTTTTCTACTTTAGTTGCTACTTCTCTTTCCTCGTCGTCGTGCAAATAGAACTCGGCCAAAGTTTGGGGTCGTGGGCTTGGCTCTGGCTGTTGCTCGTGCTCGGCGACGACTGTTTAACGCTTCTGTGTGTTTATAATTTAATTAGCAGCTCTCAAGCTCTAATATTTGTACACTACATAGAGAGAACATAAGAAGGGCTGCAAAATGATTACAAACGAGATAAGTAAAAGACGTATGTAGACAAAAAGAGCGTAAAACGACTGTCTGTACGTCTGCATGTGTTTGTGCGTGAGTATGTCTGTGCTCCACTGTATGCGTGTTCATTTGCATTAGTGTGAGTATGAGTATGTCTACGAACTGAATCTGAGACTGTGGCTGAGCCTTGGCTCTTGTTCACTTGGCTCTTGGCACGTTTTTAACTTTACTTCTATAATACAGATTTTTGGAACAGGCAAAAGTTTTACACATATGTGATAAGCACCCTAATTAAAAAAAAAAAAAAAAAAAAAAAAAAAAAAAAAATGCACTGCACAATTTGTAAACAACACGCGCACCGAAGCCTCAGCCTTGTTTTATAGTTGCTCATTGATGATTACGCTGCGGCCGCCCGTCAAACTGGACGTATGTATGCTTGCGTGTGCGTGTATGTGTGAAACTGTAGACGAACGCAGCAAGCAATGGCAGCAAAAACAATTACCTCATCGTCGCATCACAATCATTTTATCATATCAGTTGGCTACACTAAACAAACGACAATCACTTCCAGCTAAATAAATGACATTACTGAACTATGCGCGTAGATAAAACGCTTTTGCACTCGATTTGCTAATTGCTTTTGATATTTTGTCAATTTCTCTCGCACGACAACCAGTGTGACCAGTTCTGAAATTCCACGGCGACGATATGGCAACGTGCATTGCATTTCGGATTCACCAATGTGATAGAAGAGCACGACTCTTGTATACATGCAGTGCCGCCAAGGGCAAATAGAAACATCACATACAACTACAACTACGCATACACACAAGTAAAGACGATAACGGCATATCAATCACGCGTAGTACAGCTGGCAAACTTACATATATATTAGACTTAGTAAATCTTAATGCTTACACAAATATATCGATACATCGATCTATACGTAGTTTGTTAGTTACTGTATCTACAGGCGCTTGATACTTTATTAATTTATTTATTTGGTATTTAGAATAATCGATTACGCAAACATTGAAAGCAATATCGAACGCCCTAAACGATATTACACTCATCTCTAGACACACGTCGAAGAAGAAGAATCTGCTTGTCATTTCGCTGAATTGTTAACTGTAGCAAAAGTTGCAATTGTTGCAAGCATATTTTAAAGAAAACAAGCATAGCACGCTGTGCGTAGGAAATCCCCAAACATTGAAAATCAAGCCGCAAATTCAAAATGCCGTCGTTGGAGGTTAGCGTAAACAAAGTGATTGTCCACCCGCTGGTTCTGTTGTCGGTCGTGGATCACTTCAATCGCATGGGTAAAATTGGCAATCAGAAGCGCGTCGTAGGCGTGCTCCTTGGTTGCTGGCGCTCCAAGGGTGTACTAGATGTCTCTAATAGCTTTGCGGGTAAGTAATATATTATGACTTAACGATTAGTGCAATTAACACAAATGTCTTGCAGTTCCTTTTGATGAGGATGACAAGGACAAATCAGTGTGGTTTTTGGATCACGATTACTTGGAGAACATGTATGGCATGTTCAAAAAGGTGAATGCACGCGAACGCGTTGTGGGCTGGTATCATACTGGACCGAAGCTGCATCAGAATGATATAGCCATAAACGAGCTCATTCGCCGCTACTGTCCAAACTCTGTGCTGGTCATCATAGATGCCAAGCCAAAGGACCTGGGTCTTCCGACAGAAGCGTATATATCCGTTGAAGAGGTGCACGACGATGGGTCGCCCACTACCAAAACTTTTGAGCATGTGCCAAGTGAGATTGGCGCCGAAGAGGCCGAAGAAGTGGGCGTTGAGCATTTGCTGCGTGATATTAAAGACACCACCGTTGGCAGCTTGTCCCAGAAAATCACCAACCAGCTAATGGGTCTAAAAGGCCTGAATGCGCAATTGCGTGATATAAAACACTATCTACAGCGGGTCGGAGAAGGCAAGATGCCCATCAACCATCAGATTGTCTATCAGCTGCAGGACATATTTAACCTTCTGCCGGACATAACCAACGATCAGTTCACGGGCACCATGTACGTAAAGACCAACGATCAGATGCTGGTCGTCTATTTGGCGTCCATGGTCCGTTCGATAATCGCTCTGCACAATTTGATTAACAACAAGCTGGCTAATCGCGATGCTGAGGAGGGCAAGAAGTCAATTGAGAGTGATGGCAAGGACAAGAACAAGGAAAGCAAGGATAAAGAGAACAAGGACACTAAAGATAAGGATACCAGCAAGAAAGTCGATGAGAAGTCCGACAAGAGCAAAGACGAGAGCGGCAAGAGTAGCAAGAAATAGGAGCGAAAGAAAAAACGCAAATCACGTCGCAAACGGAAAAAGCACCCGCCAGAGGCGTAAACAACACTAAAAGCCTCAGACATCATGGGCTGAAGCGGCAGTGAGAACATAAACTTTAACTTTGGCCAGCTGAGTGGGAGGTGTTAAGCATGTCAACAAACGTCGAAACGAAATAGCATATATAATTCCTCTTCATAAAATATTACATAAATATATCGTACCTAGTTATATATATATATATATTAATAAACGCAGCAAGATCCTCTTTAACTAATTTGTATAGCTATGTATGTACGCTGAACAGCAGCATCAAGTGTTGATGTAATTAAAATTTAATATTTTAAAATTCAATGCAAATATTTCATTCAATGCACAATATATAGAGTACAATCTGTGGTCCTTTCCAGATATACGTTATTTATAAAGATTTCTATATATTATTTGTACACAATATCTAGAGCAGAAAAGTGTGGGTAGGAGGATTGGTCGCAGATCCCATAAAGTATATATATTCTTCCTCTTGATGAGCTGAGTCGATATACCCTTGTTCGTCCGGTAGTATCGCAAACTGTATCAGTTCGCAACAATTGTATCTTCAAATTTCACTCATGATCGTTCACATTTTTCGCTGCTAAAATGACTCTTTCTGGCAGCTATTCATGATTTTTATACCCTGAACCCATTGAAAATGGGAAATCAGGCTATAATGGTTTTGTGTAAAAGTATGTAAC